AAAGTACTCAAGAAGAAAAGAGAGGACACACACACACACACACACACACACACACACACACACACACACACACACACACACACACACACACACACACACACACACACACACACACACACACACACACACACACACACACACACACACAGCTGTTTCGATCTGAGTCAATAGCCCCCTTTCGCCAAATTCTTCTCCGCTGCTAAAGTTACATGTACTGTATAAACACACACTGAGGGTTTGAACGTTTAATTGGTCCTCACAAATATAGCAGTGCAAGAATGCACAACCAGGATAATAGATGGCGTGCATGGACGAGCCTGTGTAACTATCTCTAGTGTGCACGGAAAGCCACCATTCTCCTGCTCGGGCCAGTCTTAAGCCTCCACATACATACTTCTATATATAGAGCTATCAGTTCTCATCCGCTTCACAACACTGGCAGGCACGTGCTCCATAGCTGCACATACACTGAGAAAAGCACAGAGATCCTCAGGGCCCAGGAGTTCAAAACTTTTAATCCCTATCTGATCAAATCAGATTTGGATTTTGGGGAGTTCAAAACCAAAAAACAGGATTAGGATCACTTTGATATCCGATCAGATCAGGAAATCCAATCCAAGCTTTAATCTGGATCAAATCTTCAAAACGGGTAGTTCAAACCGACAACACAGGATTGGGATCAATTTGATCCCAAAAAACTGGATTATCCTGATCCCACCAGAGGGGTGGATTTCCAGTGGATTACCAGAGCGAAATGTACTGTACCATTTATTTAAAAATATGTTTTAATATAAATAAGATGGCAAAGCTTGTTAACTGAAATAATACACAATGTTTAGCCTTCATGGCAAATCAATTTTATTTTTCATTTTTTGGTCACGTTTGTGGTGGCCTATTTTGTTTTCAACCAAATGTTGATGACATAAATGTTTATGCTCATGAAAGTATCACAACAAAGATTGTCAATCACAAATGTAATTTAGATTAAAGAAAAAATACCTTCAACAAAAAAGAAGTCCATCTGTCATCACCTTTCAAAAGTAATTGCGGACAATAGATGTCTGCAATGTGGTCTCTTGTCTTCCTTGTATTATTTTTCATGTCCACTAGATGGCGATCGGTAGGATTAAAGCACTGATATTCTGGATCTAGTCATCTTGAAAAATCGTAATCTGGATCAGGCTGATCCTATCCTGAATTGCTTTGAACTCCAGGGACAAAATCTGGCCGATTTGTCTGATCCTGGATCACAAAAAATGGGATTTCAAAATCTGATCGGATCTGATTGAGATTCAAAGTTTTGAACTCCTGGGCCCAGATGACCGGCATAGTAATACTCAGAAAAACAATATAAATATAAACATTTGCAGCCTTACATAACTGTCCGAAACATGGACTACACATAATATATCTCGTATTTATTTGTGCATGATTTCATTTGTTCATGTATGCTAAGTACTTGTTAGCCTCTTAAAGCAGTGACATCATTGCCTTGGGGTTACTGGGTTTTAATGTTGCCAGCACGTGGGATTATAGGCACACTTTAGAATGGAAAAGCAAGATAAAGTTGATAAATGCAAAAATACATAATGAATGCACAATGTAGGACTGTGTAGACATTTAATACCATTCACTAAAAAAAGAAAACAAGCTTGTTATTGGCACCTCATAGTAAATCCAGCGTTCACAGACTGATTGATGGGTTGAAACGAACATGACACTTCCTTTGGAAAGCTGTGGCAGCTTCCCAGCTGTCTTTGCACAGCAGCCCGCCTCAGGGAAAGCAGGTGTGAGAGCGTAAACTGTGTGCGGAGAGCTCCACTTCCCACAAATAAGCTTTAATTTAAGAGATCTAAATTAAAAGTGTTGAAATCTCAAATAATTCCCTAAAAGGTTCAACACTTTACTCTTGTTTACTATATTTCTATTCAGGCACTGAGTCAATATGTTTGCACTTGACTTTTTATCTTTTATTGGACATTTTATTTTCCTTCTTATGTTTATATCTTATGTTATCTTTCATTGCACATTCTTACTTCTTATATTATATAATACATTATATAACTTTTTATTCATTCTATGATGGAACAACTTTCACAAATACCAATTTTCCCCTAAGACTATTAAAGTATTTCTCATTCTAATTCTGATGGTCAGAAAATTACACCAGCTCTTTTTTATATAAGCAGAGACATATAGCCTTGACCTAAACAAAACCTCACAATTTGCAACACAATAAATAAATAATAATACTTATAATGAACTTTTTGATCACTGAATTAAATCACAATCAGCGACTACAGTTATGAAACCATTCAATTTCTTCTCTTATTACCTCTGTTGTCTCTCAAACAGCTTCATCAAGAGATTAATGAGACTAATAACTTCAAGACAGACATTAGAACCGCATCTCAACTAACCAGAGTCTTCACATGGCCACGGGAAAATACAGGCTCCATCACATGTCTAACGTGCTTGACGCAGAGCACACTCTGCATACTGTCACATCCTCTTGATATCGGACCAAATTTGGTAAAAACAAAAGGGGAAATCTCCTATCCATACGCTCTCCTTTGCACTGAATTATGAATTTCAAACTAAATCATTTGACATAGGCACTCATTATTCTTGCATCTGTTTTCAGTTGAACATCCATTGAATTTGCATTGGATAGCTACAAGCGGAACAAGCCTGTTAACAAACACAACAGAAATAAGAAATCAATAGCTTATAATCCACATTTCAAAGTGTACATTT